TTGTGGGAAGGGCTGTGAAGTCTGATGATAAAAAGTCGTTATTTTGATAAAGTGTACACCGAAAACTTGGCCAAACACTTTGATCCAAGCTGATCGCCCTCCAACCCCGTTGCTAGAATGGATATCAAGAAGCTCGCCGTGGCAGAAATCAGCGTGGCTCAAGGCCGCCGGCTCATCATAAAAACATTATGAAACGGGTCAAACACGCTCGAATAGATCTTCTGGTAGCCCCCCCTTTAATACCTCGCATCTCTTTGCGACTCTGGATCCGCGTTGTACGTGTCGTAGCCGCGATCTGGCCCACGAGGGTTCGGCCTATGACTTTGCGACGTGCCTGGACGCGTAAAGTAATCGTTCTCTACCCGTGGGGGCATTGGCGCCGTCATATTCCGGGACGGCGTGTAGTGCGAGCCCGGTCCACGGTTGGGCACGGGACCCGTCGCGCCACGGCCTGGCTGATATGGCTGGAATGATCCACTGGAAGCGCCCGCACGCGCCGATGATGGTGCAGCAGAACGATCTGAGAATATAGATGGAGCGGGACTAGCGCGTCCATCCGATTGAAGAGGGTACTCGCCGTACGCAGGCCTGTTTGGCGCAGGTGATGAACGACCGCCGTCATACGTGTCGAATGTCCTGCCCGTCATGGACCGAACGGGCGCAGGGAATGGCGGCATTGTGTCGGCAGAGTAGGCCGAGGGACTCTCTGTGATGTTGTTGCGCAAGGACGAGCCGTGTGCAGACATGGCGTCCAGAGGCGGCCGCCCGCCGGTCCTGTGAGAGTTGGACGTTCCAGGGCGGTTGGGAGGCGCCATGGCGTTGCCGGACGGCAGTGGAGTGGCGTAGCCCATGTCGGCGCTGTTGCCCATGAGCGCAGCATTCGAGTTGTAGCTGGCAGTGGACGACATGGTGGTTGTCCTCGGAGGCATGGGTCTCTTCCTGTCCATCTGACCAAGCTCGATGCTGCCAGGGCTTGCGGGTCGCGATGTGTAAGGCGGCAGCGTGGTCATGGTGTCCTTACGATCAAGCTGAGGCATGTCGGGAACCTTGCCGGGCTCACCCAAGTTCGGCAAGGTCGGAAGCGTAGCCTGGCGGCCGAGAATAGGTTTTTCAATACCGTTGACGCCGGCCTTGAGTTGCTTCCGCTCTTCCTTGGCGAGAGCTTTGTCGACCTTCTCATGAACAATCTTCGTGAGAGATTTGTTGACCTTTCGCTCACAGTAGCCAGACAGGCCGCCGTCGGCACGGGGAATCCAGTGCCACAGGAAGAAGACGTAGAACAGAACGGCGGCTAAAAGGAACAAGGCCGAGAAGATCCAGACAACGAGAGTGAAGAGCATACCGGACAAGATGACGGCCTGTCGGGTGTCCTGCGTGGCGAGTTCCTTGATCTTTTCAAAGAAGCTCAGAATTTCCTGCCCGACATTGCCGCCTCCATCGGAAGAGAGCTTGACCTCATAAACAGACTTGAGGGTCAAGGCATTGATGGCCTGGCGTGGTCCAGAGCAGAGCAAAACGCGAATCCATGCTGTATGGGTCAGAGGCAGTCCGCCAAGGCACTGGGAGAGGTTTCGTTCCACTTACACTGGAAGCTGAAGTAGGTGAACAGGGCGATATACTGCCCACCCTTCTTGCTCTTGGTGAGTTCAGCAAAGACGAGGAATCGCCTGTAGCCCTGTCGCTTTCCCAGGCGAATACTCTCAAGGCGGACGGCAATGTTGTCAAGGTAGCATTCGGCAATGTTGCCGCGCTTCATGACGCGCATGGCGCGGAGCTGTTCGAAGCCGAGATTGACAAAAGATGCAATGATGCAGATGGAGAAGATCCATTTTGAAATCTCAAAATCAATGGCGGGGTCGATCTCGCCGGACCATTTGTTGAAGACGAGCAGGTTGACGGCAGTAAAGGTATCGACGCCGTAGACAGCAATGGAGATGATGAGCATGAACCAGAGGTACCCGTAGGCGAAAGGAGTGGCACAGCCTTTTGACTTGAAGTCGTTCAGGTTCTACAGTGCAAATGGTCAGTAATAGTGCTCGTGACAACTCAGATTGAGGACACTCACAATGTAATCCCACTTCTGTTCAGGCCGAGCCTCGACGACCTTGCGTCGATTCGTGCAGCAACCCATGATGTTGGGTGTACTGTACGGGGGCGACAGGCGGAGAGCGGCGTAGAGAGGGTGGCAGGTGTCCGAAGTGGCGGGAGCTAGAGGCTTGGTACTTGGGACGATTCTTGGTTGCCGCTCAATTCATGTGGCGTGCGCAACGTCGAGCAATAAGTCAATCGTCGTGTCAATCGTCGTTGTGATATCTCGCGTTCCGGACCGGCCGTTAGCACATGTCGTTACTCGCCCGCGAAGTAACCGACTTGTGCGCTGTCGTGATGGCTGTTTGCGTACAGTCGTTGCGACGAAGCAAAGGAAGGAGAGGGACCAGTCCCAGGTCGCTCGAGGCCGGATACAGCGAGGGAGTAGGGGGACGAGGACGGAGGGGAGGGAGCGCGCAGGGTGGTCGGAATGTGGGCCACCAGGTGGTATGTGCGGGTGGATGCGAGGAACGATCTGAGACGCAACGACGTCGTGGCACAACCAGGCGAGGCTAGGTGAGGGTCGCCTTCGAGGACTGGCGACTGGCGACCGGCTGGTGGATCGCGTGGAACGCTTTTTCTTCTTTGACGAAGGAAAGGGCAAGGAAGGCTCAACGAATGGTGAATGGATCGGCAGCTCGGAGTATGAGGCTTACCAATGCCGCGCAAGGTTGGGGAAGAGACGGCTTGGAGGAAAGGCGAAGAAACAGGACGCCGGAGTATGGGGGACTTGGGATGAGTGCCGGATGGTAAGGCGCAAGTGGATGTCGTCGTCGTCGATCAGGGTGGATGGTTTCGCTATCGCCGGGTTTGATCTACCGGAGAGAAGGCGCGCGCTGGGTATCAAAGAGTCGAAAAAGGAAGCAATGCGTAACAAGAATGATGTAGCCGCACGAGGGCAATGATTGTTGGTCGCGCAAGACGTTTTGGATGAGAGCGAGTGTGGTTGTGTGAGAGAGAAACGACAAGCGTGGGCGAGGGGTCAATGAGTGTTTGAGTGTTTGATTGGAATGACAGGCGGCGTGGAATTCACGCAAGGACGACGGAAAGTTCAGAGGCGAGAGAGAGAGAGTCGAAAACGGTCATGCCCGCCATCAAAGTCGAGCAGTGGAATGATGGAGGAGGGAGGGTTCACGAACCACTGGCAGGGAGATGATGTCGAGGGTCTGAGGTCAAAGAGGAGGGCAGGAACGAGTCCGAAGGGCAGGAGATCGGCGCTCGGACGTATGAGGAAGGCGGATCCCGACCGTTCGTGGAGGAGGAGCACGACAGGGGCACCTGCCTTGACCTTGCGGCAGTACTGTCGGGAACCTTGGGGGCCCTGAGAAGGAGCCTTGGGAGCC